GGGGGTTGGACTGGATGGCCCATGAGGTCTCTTCCAACTCTATGATTCTATGATTCTATATGGAGTATTCGTGCCAAAATTGGTCCCGACCCATCATTGTTTGAGTCCACAGTGCTCTCTGGATGTGGGTGAACTACAACTCCCAAACGCAAGATCAATGCCAACCAAACCCTTCTGGTGTTTTCTGTTGGTCATGGGAGTCCTTTGAGCTAAGTTTGCCCCAATTTCATCATTGGTGGAGTTTAGAATGCTCTTTTGATTGCAGGTGAACTATAAATCCCAGCAACTACAACTCCCAAATGACAAAAATCAATTTTTTGAGTGAAGGACATACATTGGATTGTTAGGTGTCTTGTGTCCAAATTTGGTGTCAATTCGTCCAGTGGTTTTTGAGTTCTGTTAATCCCACAAACGAACATTACATTTTTATTTATATAGATTGCACCACAATATATGTAATACACTACCAGTATATATATTTAACTAATAAATAATATATTAATAATAATACTTTTAAACATGTATGATTACTATTGTTTAAATATTTATTATTATTATTGTTATTACAATATATGTAATACACTACCAGTATATATATTTAACTAATAAATAATATATTATTAATAATAATACTTTTAAGCATGCATGATTACTATTGTTTAAATATTTATTATTATTATTACAATATATGTAATACACTACCAGTATATATATTTAACTAATAAATAATATATTATTAATAATAATAATTTTAAGCATGTATGATTACTATTGTATAAATATTTATTATTATTATTATTATTATTACTATTACAATATATGTAATACACTACCAGTATATATATTTAACTAATAAATAATATATTATTAATAATAATTTTAAACACGCATGATTACTATTGTATAAATATTTATTATTATTATTATTACAATGTATGTAATACACTACCAGTGTATATATTTAACTAATATATGATTAATAATAATTTAAGCATGTATGATTACTATTGCATAAATATTTATTATTATTATTATTATTATTATTACAATATATGTAATATACTACCAGTGTATATATTTAACTAATATATGATTAATAATAATTTTAAGCATGCATGATTACTATTGTATAAATATTTATTATTATTATTACAATATATGTAATACACTACCAGTATATATATTTAACTAATAAATAATATATTATTAATAATAATACTTTTAAGCATGCATGATTACTATTGTTTATATATTTATTATTATTATTATTATTATTATTATTATTACAATATATGTATTACACTTGTTGTTCATTCGTTCAGTCGTCTCCGACTCTTCGTGACCTCATGGACCAGCCCACGCCAGAGCTCCCTGTCGGCCTTCACCACCCCCAGCTCCTTCAAGGTCAGTCCAGTCACTTCAAGGATGCCATCCATCCATCTTGCCCTTGGTCGGCCCCTCTTCCTTTTGCCTTCCACTTTCCCCAGCATAATTGTCTTCTCTAGGCTTTGCTGTCTCCTCATGATGTGGCCAAAGTACTTCAAGTTTGTCTCTAGTATCCTTCCCTCCAATGAGCAGTCGGGCTTTATTTCCTGGAGGATGGACTGGTTGGATCTTCTCGCAGTCCAAGGCACTCTCAGAACTTTCCTCCAACACCACAGCTCAAAAGCATCGATCTTCCTTCGCTCAGCCTTCCCTAAGGTCCAGCTCTCACATCCATAGGTGACTACAGGGAATACCATTGCTTTAACTATGCGGATCTTTGTTGCCAGTGTGATGTCTCTACTCTTCACTATTTTATCAAGATTGGACATTGCTCTCCTCCCAAGAAGTAAGCATCTCCTGATTTCCTGGCTGCAGTCTGCGTCTGCAGTAATCTTTGCACCTAGAAATACAAAGTCTGTCACTGCCTCCACATTTTCTCCCTCTATTTCCCAGTTGTCAATCATTCTTGTTGCCATAATCTTGGTTTTTTTGATGTTTAGCTGCAACCCGGCTTTTGCGCTTTCTTCTTTCACCTTGATTAGAAGGCTCCTCAGCTCCTCCTCGCTTTCGGCCATCAGAGTGGTGTCATCTGCATATCTGAGGTTGTTAATGTTTCTTCCAGCAATTTTCACCCCAGCTTTGCATTCATCAAGCCCCGCACATCGTATGATGTGTTCTGCATACAAGTTAAAAAGGTTGGGTGAGAGTATGCAGCCTTGCCGTACGCCTTTCCCAATCTTGAACCAGTCTGTTGTTCCGTGGTCAGTTCTGACTGTTGCCTCTTGGTCCTTGTACAGATTCCTCAGGAGAGAGACAAGGTGGCTTGGGATGCCCATCCCACCAAGAACTTGCCACAATTTATTATGATCCACACAGTCAAAGGCTTTAGAGTAGTCATTGAAGCAGAAATAGATGTTTTTCTGAAACTCCCTGCCTTTCTCTGATTACTATTGTTTAAATATTTATTATTATTATTATTATTCGTTTATGGGATGTACAGGTAATTCCAAAACCTGGGACTGTTTTTTCCCTTTGTATTGCACTGCATTGCCCATAAGGCGCGGGGCATGATGGTACTTGTAGTCCAAGGCACCTGGGGTCTGTCAGGGAGAAAGAGGGCGGGGCTGCTGAGGGGCGGGACTACCTGGACAGAGCCAGACTACAACTCCCATCGTCCCCCGCGCGCCCCTCACAGGCCAGAGGCCTCCTTCCACCTCCTCGGGCCCCTTCCCGAGAGAAGGCCTGTTCCCACCACCCTCCAGCGCCTTACCTGCCCGGTGCCAGCGCCGAAGCCCGACTCCTCCTTCCCTCCTGCCCGGCCCCTCTCTGCACACAAAGCACAGCCGCCAAGCCACCGAGCCGGGCGGGAATGCCCAAGCCCCGCCCCCTCAGCCGGCTTCCGTCCAATCATAACCGAGCCGCTGAACGCTCGGGCCAATCGGGCGTCGCGCTACCTCAGGACGAGCCCGCCCCCGGCGCCACCCAATCGCCAACCACACTCTCACACATTTTTTTTACCCTTCCACCCAATCGTGGCTCGCGTTGCCACTCAAGCCCCACCCTACCAGGTTGCTTTGGACCAATCGCCACCCTCTCTCTCAGTCCAAAGGACGGCTCCCCTCTCTCTCTCTCGTTCCCATTCTCCCGGCTGAACTCTTTAAGTTTCAGTCACCTCGACAATGCGCCCCGCCCCTCTTGATCCCGCCCCCCTGACCATCAATCCAAACATTTCCTCCAATCACCGCTCGACTCTACAAACTCGACAGGTGCCTTCCGACCAGTAATCTTACAGTTCTCTGAAAACCCTCCTCCCTATTTGCATATGAAACAGCCCGCTCCCACGGCTCTGTCTCTCTCCATCAGGGATAGTGCCCAGCTCAGACACGTGTTAGCAGATACGCACGTTACTTCTCTTGTTTCTCAGCCTAGACACATGGCAGCGAAAAGGGGCAACAAGGGCTGCCTTATGGAAGGCTTGCCAGGCTGAGTTAGGGAGACTACAACATAATATAATATAATATAATATAATATAATATAATATAATATAATATAATAATAATTGTATAATAATAATAATAATAATAATAATAATAATTGTATGATAATAATAATAGGTAAAGGTTTCCCCCTGACATTAAGTCCAGTCGTGTCTGACTCTGGGGTGTGGTGCTCATCTCCATTTCTAAGCTGCAGAGCCGGCGTTGTCCATAGACACCCCCAAGGTCATGTGGCCTGCATGACTGCATCAAGCGCCGTCACCTTCCCACCAGTTCTATTGATCTACTCACATTTGCATGTTTTCGAACTGCTAGGTTGGCAGAAGCTGGGGCTGACAGCGGAAGTGCATGCCGCTCCCCAGATTCGAACCTGCGACCTTTTGGTCAACAAGCTCAGCAGCTCAGTGCTTTAACCCACTGCACCACTGGGGGCGCAGTGGGTTAAACCCCTGTACCAGCAGGACTCGCAGGTTCGAATCCAGGGAGAGGCGGATGAGCTCCCTCTGTCAGCTCCAGCTCCTCATGCGGGGACATGAGAGAAGCCTCCCACAAGGATGTTAAAAACATCAAATCATCCGGGCATCCCCTGGTCAACGTCCTTGCAGACGGCCAATTCTCTCACACCAGAAGCGACTTGCAGTTTCTCAAGTTGCTCCTGACACGACAAAAAAAACAAACCCACTGGGGGCTCCCAATAATATTATAATAATGCTACAACATATAATATAATACAATAATAATTGTATAATAATATAATAATAATAAATATTATTATTATTGTATAATAATATAATTGGTTCTTGTGGGTTTTTTCGGGCTATAGGGCCATGTTCTAGAGGCATTTCTCCTGACGTTTCGCCTGCATCTATGGCAAGCATCCTCAGAACCCTCTCCCCAAAACCCATGACCTTATATAATATAATTATAATAACTATTATTATTATTATTATTATTATTATTATAATAAAAATATAATAATTATTATAATGCAATCCTAGGTGACAGATGAGAAGTAACTGGAAAAGCTTACACAATATGAGGACTTAAAGATCAAACTGCAAAGACTCTGGCACAAGCCAGTCAAAGTGGTCCCAGTGGTGACAGGACACTGGGTGCAGTACCTAAAGACCTTGGCCTGCACTTAAAAACAATTGGTGCTGACAAAATTACCATCTCTCAGTTGCAAAAGACCACCCTACTCAGATCTGCACGCATTATTCGCCGATACATCTCACAGTCCTAGACACTTGGGAAGTGTCCGACGTGTGATCCAATACAAAAGGCAGGATAGTGATCTTGTTTGCTGTGTACTAACCTTGTTATGTGTCAAATTATAATATATTTTAATTGTATAATAATATAGTTATAATTATATACTATAATAACAGCGGCAGCAATAACAAATTTAATAATATATCATAATCACAGCCCACTTTCTTTCTTAAAGGACACTCAAAGGGCCCCCCATCAGTTCCGGTGAGAAAGGACTTGCAGAAGGGGAGAGGCTTCATCCCTTACCTTCCGGTCGGTACTGGGCAACAATGGTGACCGTCTGGCCAGCCCTCTTCAGCGCTGCGGCCGCCTGTTCGTGGGTTGCGTTCCGGAGGTTGACACCGTTCACCTGGGAAAACACACCGCAGTCAGATGGGCTCAGGAAGTGGAAGCCAAGGGCCCTGACCCTCACTCTGTCCACCATGCCTTGACCCAGCCTGGCCTCACCCACTTCTCTTGACCCCTCTCCCCCAAACCCATAAGCCGTCCCTCCTTGAAGCCCATTGCCCAGATTCCAAAGAGATGGACACCAAGGTTTTGCAAACCATTGCACCCAGCACCAAAGCAAACCTGACACCCCAAAGGCTAACCTGGCTGACCGCTTGACCCCTTTCCCCAAAACCTATAACCTGTCCCATCTTGGAGCCAAAGTGACAAAGACCAAGATTTTGTTCCCCCAAACACCAACTAGGTTTACCCCCTCCCCAAAACTCATAATTCTTTGAACTCATTGCCAAGGAATGTGCTCCAAGGCACACCTGACACCCCAAATTCCCATTTCTCTCACCACTTGAACCCTCTCCCCAAAACCCATGACCCATCGCATGCAACAGATGCCAAAGGAATAGATGCCAAGGTATTGTCGAAAGCCAAGGTGTCGAGTTTTCCGGGCTGTATGGCCATGTTCCAGAAGCATCCTCTCCTGACATTTTGCCCACATATATGGAAGGCATCCTCACAACCTATATGGGGGAAACGTCAGGAGAGAATGCTTCTGCAACACAGCCATACAGCCCGGAAAACTCACAGCAACCCAATAGATGCCAAGGTTTTGCAAACAATTTGTACCCGGCGCCAAAGCAAACCTAGCTCTCCAAAGGCCAACCTGACTGACTCCTCAAAACCTACAACCCATCACTCCTTGCACACCATTGCACCCATTGCCAAAGAGCCACAGTAGTGCTCCAAAGCAAACCTGGCACCACAAATGCCCATCTGGCTGACTGCTTGGCTTTGTTTCCCCAAACCCAAACACACCATGCTTTGGAGCCCATTGTATGCAATGGAAAAGGGCTGGGTGCCAAGGCTGTGCTCCTAGTAAACTCTGCAACCCAAATGCCCATCTAGCTTACCACTTGACCCTCCATCCCAAAGCCCCACCCCATTATTCCTTGGACTCAATTACATCTAAGGCCAAAGGGGTAGGCATCAAAGTTTGGCTCCAAAGGAAGTCCCGGCACCCCAAATGCCCACCTGGCTGACCGCTTGACCCCAAAACTCAAAGCCATTATTGCCTTGGAGCCCAACGTATGCACTGCCAAAGGACTGGACACTAAAGTTATGCTCCTAGCAAACATGGCACCCCAAATACCAGGCTGTTGAGTCCCCACCCCAAATACCCGTCTCCACAAGTCTTTGGCTCCATTGTACCCTGTGCCAAAGTGCTGGACACTAAGGATGTGCAATGTTTAATTCTTTTGTCATGTCTGTACGTTTTTTAGGTTTTTAATTGTATCGCTTTAATTAGCTGCTTTGGATCTCTTATTAAGAGAGATAAAGCAGGAGAGCAATAGTGATGATAAATAATAGAATCCTAGAGTTGGAAGAGACCTCATGGGCCATCCAGTCCAACCCCATTCTGCCAAGCAGGAATATTGCATTCAAAGCACCCCTGACAGATGGCCATCCAGCCTCTGTTTAAAAGCTTCCAAAGAAGGAGCCTCCACCACACTCCGGGGCAGAGAGTTCCACTGCTGAACGGCTCTCACAGTCAGGAAGTTCTTCCTCATGTTCAGATGGAATCTCCTCTCTTGTAATTTGAAGCCATTGCTCTGCATCCTTAGTCTCCAAGGCAGCAGAAAACAAGCTTGCTCCTTCTTCGCTATGACTTCCCCTCACATATTTATACATGGCCACCATAATGCCTCCTCACAGCCTTCTCTTCTTCAGGCTAAATATGCCCAGCTCTTTCAGCTGCTCCTCATAGGGCTTGTTCTCCAGACCCTTGATCATTTTAGTCACCCTCCTCTGGACACATTCCAGCTTGTCAACATCTCCCTTCAATTGTGGTGCCCAGAACTGGACACAGTATTCGAGGTGTAGTCCTAATTGTGGTGCCCAGAATTGGACACAATATTCCAGGTGTGGTCTAACCAAGGCAGAATAGTGGGGGAATAACTCCCTTAGATCTAGACACTATGCTCCTATTGATGCAGGCCAAAATCCCATTGGCTTTTTTTGCTGCTACATGACATAGTTGGCTCATGTTTAACTTGTTGTCCACAAGTTAATAGTAATAATAATAGTAATAATAATAATAATAATAATAATAATAATAGCAATAACAGAAACAATGGAAAAGCTGACACAATAGACCTGGCCTGGGCAAACTGCAAAGACTCTGGCACAAACAGTAAAGGTGGTCCCAGTGGTGATCGGCACACTGGGTGCAGTGCCTAAAGACCTTGGCCTGCACTTAAACACAATTGGTGCTGACAAAATTACCATCTGCCAGCTGCAGAAGGCCACCTTACTGGGATCTGCACATATTATTCGCCAATACATCACACAGTCCTAGACACTTGGGAAGTGTCCGACATGTGATCCACTACAACAGCCAGCAGAGTGTCTGCTGTGGACTCATCTTGTTGTGTTTCAAATAGCTATAACAGTAATAACAACAACAACCCAACACCTCAAATACCAATCTGGCTGACTGCTTAACCCTCCTCCCCAAACCCATCACTCCTTGCAGTCCATTGTATTCAATGCCAAAGGGATATACATCAAAGTTTTGCTCCAATGCAAACATCCCAGATCCCGACCTTACTGACTGCTTGACCCCCACCCTGCTCCCAAACCTTGGAGCCCTTCGTACGCGACAAAGGGCTGGATGCCAAGCATATGTTCTCCCAGTAAACTTTGGACTCCAAATGGCAAATGACCTTGAAACCGCTAGGCCATTAACTTCTAATCAAGGTGGCCAATTGAAACATTCATTCCTACCTCTCAACAAAAGTTTGCTCCAGGCACTGTCAGGCCATTATATGGTAATCAAGGTGGTCAGTTGAAACATTCACACCTAGCTCCAGCAGACAAGAGTTTTTTCTCCCACCCTGGACATTCACAGATATCTGAACCCCATTTTCCTAGTTTCCAAGAGACCTCATAACCTCTGAGGATGCCTGCCATAGATGCAGATGAAACATCAGGAGAGAATGCTTCTAGAATATGGCCATACAGCCAAGAAAACTCACAACAAGCCAGTAATTCCATCCACGAAAGCCTTCGACAATGCATTCAACATGGAACAAGTTTAATAAACTGCAAAAACTTTGCTTTTGAAGGAGGGACACCCTGCAGCATGTTTTGCTCTAGCTTTTCAATAAATATCTCAATCAATCGATCAATCAATCAATGATTTGTGGACAATTTCAATAGAAAGCATGTGGACAAGCATGTGGACAATTTCAACAGAAAGGAGGAAACCATGAAAATGAACAAAATCTGGCTACCAGTATTTAAAAACTCTAAAATTAAAACAGCACAACAACAGAGAGGAAACAATCAGGGACATCTAACCACCTCTTAACAAAAGATTGCCCCAGGCACTGCCAGGCTATCAAATGCTAATCAAGGTGATCAGTTGAAACATTCACACCTAGCTCCAGCAGACAAGAGTCCTTTGCCCCACCCTGGTCATTCCACAGATATATAAACCCTTTTTCCTAGTTCCAACAGACCTCACAACCTCTGAGGATGCTTGCCATAGATGCAGGCGAAACGTCAGGAGAAATGCCTCTAGAACATGGCCACATAGCCCGAAAAAACCTACAAGTAAGTAAGTAAGTAAGGAAGGTCAGTTGAAACATTCACACCTAGCTCCAGCAGACAAGAGTCCTTTGTCCCACCCTGGTCATTCCACAGATATATAAACCCTTTTTCCTAGTTCCAACAGACCTCACTACCTCTGAGGATGCTTGCCATAGATGCAGGCGAAATGTCAGGAGAAAATGCCTCTAGAACATGGCCATATAGCCCGAAAAAACCTACAACAAGCCAATAAATATCTCATCAAGTCTCTACCAATAGATTGTGGCAGCAACAAAATGGAGTAGAACAACTACTTTCAAAGTACTGCACTATTAAACAGGAAATAACACTTTCAAAAAAATTGGTTATATAATGTAATCATCATCATCATCATCATCATCATCATCACTATCCAACTTGTCTGACTACTTGTCTCCCTTCCTCCTAACGCATTCCTCCTTAGACCTGGGTTCCAAAGGGCCAGGCACCAAGGTTGTGCTGCTTGCAAACGTGGCACCCTCAATCCCAACCCGGCTGAACAATTGAGCCCCCAAACCCCAATCCGGCACACCTTGGACCCCACAACCTGAACCGGTCATTCCTGGGAGCCCATGACACCCAATGCTGAACCGTCAGACCCTCAAGCTTTGCCTCAAAGCCAATTTGGCACTTCCAAATGCCAACCTCGCTGAACGGAGGAGCCGCTTCCTCACGGAGATGGTGCCTCCATGCAACCTGAGCTGGACGATGGGCTTCGCGTTCCCTGGCCCCGCGGACAGGCTCCATCGAGACCCTGTGACTCTAGCTGATTACTTTCCCTGAAACCACCCTATTTTAACATAAAAACTGTGAGAAGAGGAAATAAGTTTTCTCCAAGCTGGGCTGGGCTCTCCCAGACCGGTTTGGTGAGATGTTGAGCCTACCTGCCAGCAAAGTGGGTTAACCCTTTCATGCCTGGTGCAGAAAGGAGGCTGGGGTGCCCAACCGGGCTACAAAAATGCAGAGGATTGGAGAAACAATGTTTTTTACCATAGGGGTGGACAACTGTCCAGAGTTAGGATTCGTGAGCCTCCAAAACAGCTAGGAAACACAAGATGAAAGTGGAAGTGGCCAAACATTTTGGTGGAAACAGTGCTGGGAGTGTCAGGGAAGTGAATATTTGCACCTTGGAGGCTTTTCAGAGGCCAGAAAAAGGGCATTGTTGGAATTCTAGAGGGGAGGCTTCAAAGGCTGGAAAAAAAAGGGCTGAAAAACTAGGCTTATACTCGAGTATATACAGTATGTGTTCTGTGATCTGTCCTGAGTCCTCTTCAGGGTGAAAAAGGCGGAATATAAATACTGTAAATCTATATATATATACATGCTCTGTGCATAATGAGTACCTTAAAAACAAAAGAACCAATGAACGAAATCACACCAAATTTGGCAACAACACAAGGAGTGACCATCACTCAAAAAATTATGATTTTGTCATTTGGGAGTTGTAATTACTGGGATTTATAGTTCACCTATAATCAAAGAGCATTCTGAACTCCACCAACGATGGAATTGAACCAGACTTGGTACACAGAACTCCCATGACCAACAGAAAATATTGGAAGGGTTTGGTAGGCATTGTCCTTGAGTTTGAGAGTAGTTCACCTACATACAGAGAGCACTGTAGATTCAAACAATGCTGGATCTGGACCAAATTTGGCACAAGCACTCAATACGCGCAAATATGAACACAGATTGAGTTTGGGGGAAATGGACCTTGACATTTGGGAGTTGTAGTTACTGGGATTTATAGTTCACCTACAATCAAGGAGCATTCTGAACCCCACCAACAATAGAATTGAACTAAACTTGGCACACAGAACTCTCATGACCAACAGAAAATACTGAAATGGTTTGGTGGGCATTGACCTTGAGTTTTGGAATTGGAGTTCACCTTCATCCAGAGATCACTGTGGATTCAAACAATGATGGATCTGGACCAAACTCTACACAAATACTCAATATGCCCAAATGTGAACACAGATGGAATTTGGGGAAAATAGAATCTTGACATTTGGGAGTTGTAGTTTCTGGGATTTATAGTTCACCTATAATCACAGAGCATTCTGAACCCCACCAACGATAGCATTGGGCCAAACCTCCCACACAGAACCCCCATGTTGGCCACAGCAACGCGTGGCAGGGGACGGCTAGTAAATAAATAAGTTTCTAATTAAGGAAAGAACATCTGTTGACAATGATGTTTGTGATGAATCCCATGGAGCGGCTAGAGAGGAAACTGCACAAGAATCAACTAATGCGTAAGAAGCGTAAAGGAAAAAAAAATCCAAACCTCATTTAAACAGGAAGGATTATATGAAACACACACACATATGTGATGAAAATCTTCTAAACAGGGGTTGGTCAAACCTTCAGTTAGATAGTAACACCGATCACCAGGTCGTGAAAGGAGGCCTGTCTCCGACATGACAATTTGCAAAGCTTTGTCCTTTTCTGTGCACAAAAGAAGCCCGCCAAAGGTAGCCTTGATGTACTCACCGAAAGGATGCGGTCTCCACGGCGCAGCTCCCCACTCAGGTCAGCCGGCCCTCCGGCCAGGATGAAGGAGACAAAGATGCCTTCGCCATCTTCACCGCCCACAATGTTGAAGCCCAAACCGGTGGAGCCCTTGTGCAAGGTGATCTTCCGGGGCTCCCTGCAAGGGACAGAGCACAGCACATGAAGGCACAACTGGAGCTGGAGAAGAACGTGTCCTTCTCTTGGACTCTGCCTTCCAGCAAGCAAGGAGTTCTGAGAGCGGTAGTACCAACATTCTTGCCCTTCTGCACTATGCTTCCACCGGGAGAGTGCGGATGAGCTCCCTCTGTCAGCTCCAGCCTCCCATGCGGGGACATGAGAGAAGCCTCCCGCAAGGATGGGAAAACATCAAAAACATCCGTGCAATGTCTCCTGGGCAACATCCTTGCAGACGGCCAATTCTCTCACACCAGAAGCGAGTTACAGTTTCTCAAGTCACTCTTGACATGGAAAAAGCAAAACAAAAACTGAACAACTCGGATGTACTCTTTGGTGAGACTGTTGCACACTTTCCTCCTAAGAGTAGTAACTCTTAATGCTACTTTCCTTTTTATCTGTGACTTCCTCTTGCTGTACATGTCTGTGTTGTGATTTTGCTGGTGTATGCCAATATAGGCTGTGTTATGTTATGATATGTATTTTTTAAAAATACTGATTTTGAAAAGGGGGCTTCAGTAACACTCCCCGTTTCCTCTCTCCCGGCGTCTATGTAAACACATAGAGAGAAAGAAGGAAATATTAGTATAATCTACTGAGGTAATTTTAATTAATTCAAATTAATTACCTATGTACTCGAAGAGAGGCGGAGTTTTTCAGCCTCATTTCCATCTTTCCTTTTTCCTTACCTCCCTTTCTCCTTCCATCTTTCCCTTCCACCCTTTCGTCCTTCCTTCTCTCCCTCTTTCTCCTTCCTTCCTTCCTTCCTTCCTTCCTTCCTTCCTTCCTTCCTTCCTTCCTTCCTACCCTTCTTTTGTCTTTCCTTCCTCCTTACCTCCCTTCTTCCCTCTCTCCCTCTTTCTCCTTCCATTCTTCCCTTCCTCCCTTTTATCCTTCCTTCTCTCTCCCCCTCTTTCTCCTTCCTTCCTACTTCTCCTTTTGTCTTTCCATTCTTCTCTTTCCTTTATGCTTCCATCCCTTCCATCCATCTCTCCTCCTCCCTTTCTTTTTTCTTCCTTCCTTCCTTTTGTCTTTCCTTCCCTCTTTCATCCCTCCTTCTCTCTCTCCCTTTCTCCTTCCATTCTTCCCTTCCTCCCTTTTATCCTTCCTTCCTTCTCTCCCCCTTTCTCCTTCCTTCCTACCTCTCCTTTTGTCTTTCCATTCTTCTCTCTTTCCTTTATCCTTCCATTCCTTCCATCCATCCTTCTCTTCTTCCCTCCCTCCCTTCTCTTTTTGCCTCCTCCTTCCCTTTTGTCTTTCCTTCCCTCTTTACTCCTTTCTTCCCTTTTTCTCCTTCCAACCTTCCTCCCTTTCGTCTTTCCTTCCTTCTTTCTTTCCTTCCTCCTTCCCTTCCTTCCATCACCGGGCAGCCAGTCCTCCTAGCAGGGAGTGCTGGCATGCGACCCCCAAGTCTGAAAGTTTGACCATGCCTGGAATATGCCATACTCTATCCCCAATTCCTTCCTTTCGAGCAAGACATCTCCCCAACTTCTCCAAATCTCCCCCCCCCCCCCATGCTTCATTAACCCTCAGTCTCCTATTTCTGACCATTTGGGATGGGAAAGGACAGTGATAAATGCCACAAATCCTGACTATTCAGGGGCTGCAAGGAACAGCTATTATCTCTATTCCCGACTCTTGGAATCAGAGGTTCCTGCCAACTGGATCAACCCATAGAAGGGGCATCAAGGGTACCTGAGCTCCCTTTTGTGGATGGCAGCAGCCCACTGTGGTCGAGGTGGCCGCCTCACGTAGGATATGGAGGAGGAGGAGACGTTGACGGAGAACATGGTGGCGGCCTCCCTGTCTCTGATCTAAAGGGCTGGAAGGGATGGCTGTTTTTATCTCGCTGCTGCTGCTGCCTCCGTTGCTGAGATAAACCAGGCTCCGGATGGGACAACGGAGCCAGCCGGGAGGCCTTAACCCCTCCCTTCCCGACAGCAGAATAAGCTCAAGACTCACCAGAAATCAAGCAGAAATGTGATTTCTTGCTTTATTTGACCGTTTTCTCTCTCTCCTCAAGGGACGGGGTCCCTAGGGCACGTTCAGAGTGCCTTCCTCTCCACCCATATAAGGATGAAATACAGGAATTTAATTTTTTCACAGTGTTCTCAATGGCAAAAGTGTTATCAAATCCCACACCTTCTGAACAACTCGAATACATCCATTTGTGAGACTGCGGCACATTTTATTCTTGAGCTTAGCAACCCTTACTTATGCTGGTGGCACAACGGGTTAAACTGCTGAGCTGCTGAACTTGCTGACTAAAAGGTTGGCAGTTCGAATAGGGGGAGTGGGGTGAGCTCCAGCTGTTAGCCCCAGCTTCTGTCAACCTAGAAATGGAGATGAGCACCTCCCATCATAGTTGGACACGACTAGACTTAATGTCAGGGGAATGATAACTTATACCTTTATTTAATTATGCTTTCTTTTTTTAACAATCCTCTCGTATATACCTGTGTGGTGATTTTGTTGTTGTATGCCAATAAGGGCTGTATGTGTGTGTGTGCTTTCCCCTCCAGACTGAAAGATAAGCTCCAAAGGCATTGTACCCTTTTGCTTGGGTTTTTTTTTAAATCCAGTGTCTTTTTCTCTCTCCGGGGCATGTGCAGAGTGCCTTTCCTCACCTTCCGCTCCAGGTTGAAGGACAGCATCCAAAGACATCACACATGCCCACCTTTTGTATGGTGGGCACCATATCCTGCAACCCAACCATCCCCAAGCCTCACATCTATCTGCTTCCATGTCATCTGCTACAGCTTCCTGGTGGAAGATGGTGGGCTACAACTCCCAGAATCCCAACAATGGCGAGAAGGGCAACCTTTTAAGGAGGCAGCAGATCAGTCCGTACACTCAAGAGACTGCCAAAGAAATAGGGCCTAAACTAATCCTTCCTATTTCATGCACTTCATGTCAGTGGGACTGATGAATCCGCCCCAAATTGCAGTCTGACTGCTATATATATGTGTGTGTGTGTGTATCTATATAAATAAAAATGTAATGTTCGTTTGTGGGATTAACAGAACTCAAAAACCACTGGACAAATTGACACCAAATGTGGACACAAGACACCTAACAACCCAATGTATGTCCTTCACTCAAAAAATGTTTTTGTCATTTGGGAGTTGTAGTTGCAGGGATTTATAGTTCACCTAAAATCAAAGAGCATTCTGAACCTCACCAGTGATGGAATTGAACCAAACTTGGCACACAGTTCTCCCATGACCAACAGAAAATACTGGATGGGTTTAGTGGGGAATATCCTTTGGTTTTGGAGTTGTAGTTCACCTACATCCAGAGATCACTGTGGACTCAAACAATGATGGATCTGGACCAAACTCCACAATACTCAATATGTCCAAATGTGAACACTGGTGTAGTTTGGGGAAAATAGAATCTTGACATTTGGGAGTTGTAGTTGCTGGGATTTATAATTCACCTACAATCACAGAGCATTCTGAACCCCACCCGTGACAGAATTGGGCCAAGCCTTCCACACAGAACCCCCATGTGGGCCACAGTAACGCGTGGCAGGGGATGGCTAGTTGTGTGTGTGTGTGTGTGTGAGTATATACATATATATATATATCACACAGGCCATCTAATCATAATTTCTGGAAGAAAAGTAAGTAAAAAGGAGAATTTTATCCATCCATCTATCATTTATCATCCACTGTCTGTCTGTCTTATCTATATCTATCTATCTATCTATCTATCCATCTATCATCTAGCCTGTCCATCTGTCCATCCATCTGTCCTTCTATCTCATATCTATCGATCCATCCATCATCTACTATCTGTCCGTATGTCCATCCATCGTCTATCTCATATCTATCTATCTATCTATCTATCCATCCATCCATCCATCCATTCATCATCTCCTATCTGTCTGTCTGTCCATCCATCTATATTATCTATCCATCAATTTATCTATCTCACTATCATCTAGAACAGGGGTCCTCAAACTAAGGCTCGGGGGCCAAATACGGCCCTCCAAGGTCATTTACCCGGCCCTCGCTCAGAGTCAACCTAAGTCTGAAATGACTTGAAAGCACTCAACAACAACAACAACCCTATCTCATCAGGCCCACACTTCCCACTGAAATACGAATAAGTTTATATTGTTAAAATTTTTCTTCATTTTAATTATTGTATTTTTTTTAAAGTGTTTTTGCACTATCAATAAGATATGTGCAGTGTGCATAGGAATTCATTCATGTTTTTTTCAAATTATAATCCGGCCCTCCAATAGTTTGAGGGACTGTGACCTGGCCCTCTGTTTAAAAAGTTTGAGGACCCTTGATCTAGCCTGTTCATCTGTCCTCCTATCTCATATCTATCGATCCATCCACCCATCATCAACTATCTGTCTGTCTGTCCATCCATCTGTCCATCTCATGTCTATCTATCCATCCATCCATTAATCATCTCCTATCTGTCTGTCCATCCATCTATATTATCTATCTATCTATCTATCTATCTATCTATCTATCTGTCTGTCATCTAGAGTCTATCTATCTATCTTATCTCTTGATTGTTAGATAAAATTTATATCAACTGCCAAGGAGATTCTAAGGGTTAACGGGATCCTCTCCTAAAATGTATTTTAACTATTATTAACTTCCATCGTTTTTGTTGTGGGAACAAATTATGGTTCTGTTTAGCATCATTGGTGCCTGTACTCTGAGGGTACTATTGTGTGCGTGTGGTGCTTTTTGTCATGGCCTTGGGCCCGTACAATAAACTATTTTTTATGATCTCTCGATCTATCCATCCATCCATTCATCATCTACCGTCTATCTATTTGTCTATCTATCTATCAATCAATCTATCATCTACTGTCTGTCTGTCTGTCTATCTATCCATCCATCCATTCATTCGTCCATCCATCCATCTATCATCTAGTCTACCTGTCCGTCCGTCCGTCCGTCCGTCCGTCCATCCATCCATCTATCCATTCATCTATCTATCATGTACTGTCTGTCTGTCCACCCACCTGACAGTCTATCTTATCTATGTATCTATCTATCCATCCATCCTGTCATCGTCTGGACTAAAATTAAAATCACAATACTAAAACATAGATCACTAGCCAAGGTTAACTAACACATAAAATGGCTCTGACCCTATTCCAAATACTGTATAGTGGGGAAAAAAGATGAAGAAATACACATATTATTCTACCATTGCAGACCCAACTAAACAATCCTACAATCCTATTAACAACCATAGCCACAGATTATTGTATTGTCAGTTCCTTATTGCTCAGAATGTCCACAAATGGTTGCTGGTCTTTCAAAATATTTTCAATTGATTTCTCCTCTAAAACCCATGTTGATTTGGTGAGTGGTCAGAATAGTTAGGCAGGTATGTCTGAGGCTTAAAACCTTGGCCAGCTCATTTAAACCTGATTCTCCCAAATAACGTTGTGACATTTGGACTCTCTAAAAGTTCAGACTAAAAACCAGAGGAAGAATCAACCAAGGGCCCTTTCCTCCAGGTTCTGCAGGGCAGGGACTGCGGGGTCATCTGTCTGTCCATCTCACCTGGTGAAGTCCTCGTCCCCCATCAGGTGCCGTGGGACGGGCGAGTAGCGGGCTGGCGTGACCTGCGGTGGAGGCGGGTAGGCAGGCTTGGGCTCCAGGCCCCCCAGGTAGCCCAGGCCGGGGTTATGGCTTATGTGGTTGTCGGCCAAGGCGGAGAAGGCTGGGGAGGAAAAGCAGGGCAAAAGAGGTCAGCTGAGCTGTGGACAATGAGACAACAATGGCACCCATTGGGAGACACACACCAAGAGCACCCAACCCTTCCCTCACCACAATCAGTCTCAATATTTCTGTCTTTCTGTCTTTCTGTCTTTCTTTCTTTCTTTCACAGAATCCTAGATTTGGAAGAGACCCCCACAAGGACTGTCCAGTCCCACAAGGACTGTGCAGTCCATCCCTATTCTGCCGGACAGGAAGTCACAATCAAAACACTCCTGGCAGATGGCCATCCAGCCTCTTCATTATGACATCTAGGTTGGATAGCTTGCTGCCATCTGTATTAAGTTATTGAATTAATCTTCTTGTATGAAAACTTGGAATAGGCAGATGCCAAGGATTGATTCAGAGACCTTGGGGATGTAAAGCAAGCTATCTATTTATTTATCCATCCATCCATCTTCTATCCAGTAATGAATGTTGGGCTATCTGTCCATCCATCCTATTTATAAACACTGGAAAACTGTGAGAAGGTTACTCTATCTATCTCTACCTATCTATCATCCTCATTAAATTACAAAATGCATCTTCTTGCATGAAAACCTGAAAATCATGGCTGACAGGAACTTGACCCAAGTCCTCCAACATGAAGAACATTCTATCTATCTATCTATCTATCTGTCTGTCTGTCTGTCTATCCGTCTATCCATCTATCCATCCATCCATCTATCGATCTATCGATCTATCTATCTATCTATCTGTCTGTCTGTCTGTCTGTCCATCTGCTTCTCTGTCTGTCTGTCTGTCCGTCCGTCCATCCATCCATCCATCCATCCATCCATCCATCTATCTATCTGCCTATCTATCTATCTGTCTGTCTATCTGTCCATCTGCTTCTCTATCTATCTATCCATCCATCCATCTATCTATCTGTCTGTCTAGACGTCTGTCTAGACGTCTATCTATCTATCTATCTATCTATCTATCTATCTATCTATCTATCCTTCTATCCATCCATTTATTTATTAATTTATTTACAGTATTTATATTCCACCCTTCTCAGCCCGCAGGGGACTCAGGGTGGATTACAATGTACACATATATGGCAAGCATTCAATGTCAAAGACACACAACAGCTATAGACAAACAGTCAGAGGCTATTTAACTTTTCTGGCCGCCAGGGGAGCTGTCGCTTTCATCGTCCATCTGCGACACTGATGAAGTATTTCCGCATTCCCCGCATGCTTTTGCTGGAGTCTTTTTATGGCCTCGTAAATTAGTTAAATTAGCTTCCCCACACATAGGTGGTACCTAATTTTCCTACTTGACAGATGCAACTGTCTTTCAGGTTGCAAAGGTCGACAACAAGCTACACAATTGGTCGGAAGCTCACTCCGACCCGGGCTGGCTTCGAACTCATGACCTTGTGGTCAGAAGTGATCTTAATGCAGCTGACACTCAGACAGCTGCACCACAGTCCCGGTGCAGGACGTCCGGCATCTATCTGTTTGTCTATATCTGAATGCTAGAAAGCCATGAGCTATATCTATCTATCTGTCTGTCTGTCTATCTATCATCTTAATTAAATTACTGAATTAAACCTTGCAAGAGAACTTGCAAAAAGTAACTGTTAGGAATGGAACCTGAGATCTCCAGAAGGATCTATCGATCTATCTATGAATGATGAAAAATCATGAGCTTGGGAAGGCTATCTACCTCCCTCTCTATTGCCTGAATTAAATGACTAAATTAATCTTCTGGTTTGAAAACATGCAATAGGCAGTTGCCAGGCCCCAAACCACAGTCCTGCTCCCTCCCCAATGCTGGGATGATGGGACAGGTGCTTACTGCTGGCGTAGTCGGGCGGGGCGTAGATGTCGTTGAGGTGGGCGCTGCCCGGCTTGGCCACCTTCAGGTACACCATGTCGGAGGTGTTCTTTAGGGCAGCCACAGCCTCTTCGTGCCGGACGTCCTGCAAGTTGGTGTTGTTCACCTGGGCCATAAGAGAGAGAGGAGGGTCAGCAGGTGAAAGAGAGGGCTCTGTGGGCCTGGCATCCGTTGTTTCATTTGGCTATCATACAGCTTTGGCATCTGCTTTAGTCTAAACTTTGGCCTGACTGGTATGACACCATGTAACAAAATTTGAAAAATATTCTATTCCTGGTTTGAAGGTGTTATTTCCTGTTTATTTTCGTAGGACTTTCTTTTGTTCTACTCCAGAAACTTTGTTTTTGTGGCTGCCACAAACTAGGTTGAATTGCTTGAGACCCGATGAAATATTCATTGAAAAACAAATGATGGTTGGCCTTCACATATCTTGGAAAGAAGGCAAAAGCTGACTTTAAGGATGCCACAAAGAACTTATAGGGCTAGATCAGTGGTTCCTGACCTTTTTTTTTTTATTTTTTACCAGGGACCACTCTCCAACATTAGTACCAAAAGAATTACAAATCAGTTTTTGGTCTATTTTAGATTCGGTTAGGTTATTTGGTGTGCTGATTCAGAAAATTGCATTTGATAGACCACATCAGCTCTAGTTTCTGATACAGAACATATACCATCCAATGGTCGCCATCTGCTCAGCCACAGAAAACCATATTTAATGACAGAGAGCTGATGTGGTCTATCCAATGCAATTTTCTGAATCAGTGTCCCAAATAACACCAGGAACACACTTAAAAATGAAGACAGCAAGAAAAAAAATTGGTTGGGCTGTGTTATTATCCATGGATTTTGTTAATGCTCATGTAAAAAAAAGAAGAGGGGGCTGAGGTTGAAAAAATACAAAAGAGTGTGAGACCTAAGAAACTGTTCCTAACAGCTATAATAATAATAATAATAATAATAATAATAATAATAATAAATATTATTATTATTATTATTACTACTACTACTACTACTACTACTACTACTACTACTAATTACTTTGGGGGACTAAACAGGGTCTTACAAAGGGCTGCTTTTCCATTATAACTCTCGTGTTTGGCAGTGGGATCTAATAACAGTAATAGTAATAATAATAATAATAATAATAATAATAATAATAACAACAACAACAACAACAACAACAACAACTTTGCGGGGCTCTCCTTTTCTCCATGTTACATAGTATATAATTTTTGGTAAGTCAGGCTACCTCTAAATACTGGGGTCTGGTTTGTGCTTATTGTGGGCAACATGAATGCTAGTAAGCCACAAGCTGGAGAAGGGTGATCATGGCAGAATCTCACACCTTTTCCCAGCTCTAATAAGACTCCTACAGATGCATAGCTAAGCCTGTGGCTCTCCCCATTGACTAGGGGTCTCCACGGACCTGAAACAACCGCATGTCTACACTTTTGGGGTCTGACCTAATACAGGGGTTGTGTATATATACTATTATATACAGAAAGAGTGAGGCTGCTGCTCACCGCTAGCAGCCGGTCCCCAATTTGCAGGCGCCCATCCTTCTGGGCCGCCCCACCTTCGATGATCTTGGTGATGTAGATGCTGTTGTCTCCGGGGATGTGCTGGTTCCCAATACCCCCCGCAATGCTGAAGCCCAGTCCTGGGGGGAAAGGGATGGGATGAAAAGCAAGGTTAGTGACCCCCTAAACACCTGCATTGGGGAATATATGCTCATGCATTCCCATTCCCCACCACTGAGAAGTCAATGAGGTTCTCCACCTCTCATGCCATGTGGCTTCTGTTGCTATTATTCTACTGAGGGGCATCAGATCCCCACACAAGGCAGGGAGAGGCAAATGAAGCACTGCATTGACTCAAATTTCATGCATCAACCCTGAAGCCAAAAAAAAAATTGCTGCCGAATGTAATGTGCAGCGGTAAAAAGTGATATGCCCCAAAAACATGGATTTCCTAAAAATGACATATGAATCAAATCTGCAAAAGTGGAACCTGCCAATGTAGTGGGCCAGCTGTCTATTTCCATTAAGGTTCCATGCACGGGAAACAAACCATGGAGGGAAAACTACAAACATCCTCTCTGTCCACATTAAGACTTGATTCAGCTGAGAATCAGTGAGAAAATGGATGGAAAGCTACTCCGTGCAGTATTTCTAAGTTTCTAGGTCATTGTATTCCGGGTTGAAAAAAATATGACTGAGAAATCGAGGGGTCTGTTTAGCAATTTCCTCAAATAGTGACCTCCTCTCACTATCTTGTTTTCAGGCTTAAAAGCTGTCTTTTGGTAAGCAGGGCCTCTCCAAAGTGGTTTCATTCTGCTGATTCCCCAAGCCAGAAGCAATGAGGAAGTTTGGATAGGAAAAGACACCCACCCACCCTCAAGCAACCCAAGAGCATCACCTTTGGGTCCCTTCATGAGGTTGACTTCCATGATGGTCTCCGGTGGAGGCTGCCTCCGCCGCACCAGGAGACGGACCACCGGCCCGGCTTCCTTCAGGGCCTCCACGGCTTTACTGTGCACCACTTCAGAGACATCCACTTCATTGACCCGCAGGACACAGTCATTTACCCTGAGAGGAGGAAGAAGTGGAAAAGGAGAAAGAAGAAAGGAGAAAGAAGAAGAGGAGCAAGAAGAAAAAGAAGAGGAGAGAGGAAAAGGAAAAAGAAGAGGAAGATTCAGAAGAGGAGGAAGAAGAAGATGAGGAGGAGCAAGAGGAAGTGGAGAAGGAAGAGGAGAAGAAAAAGAAGGAAGAGGAGGAGGAAAAGGATAATGGAGATTTGAATACTGGACTTAAGACAGAGAAAAAGCCTTCAAGATCCTCCTTTTGGGCTCCTAAGACAGGCACCAGGCCCTCTCCTTAGTATGCTACTAGATAAATAGGAGCTGAGAAATATATTGTTCATTAAGGCATACTATATATCCCAGACTTCTAATGTCACCTCCTGCCATCTTCTCTATTTCTCTGTGATACACTGTGATTCCTGTGTCTGTGGTGGATCCATTTCTAGGTTCTGTGTGGATATGCAGATTTGGAGATAATAACAAACACTACTGAAA